GCAAGGTTCCTCTTTCCCCACAGCCCCGCCAGCATTTGTTATTGGTTGATTTCATGATAGCAGCCATTCTTTCTGGAGTGAAGTGGAATCTCAATTTTGTTTTCATTTGCATCTCTTGAATGACCAGTGATGTTGAAATGACTTTATGAACAAAACCTCAATAGCATGTGAACTAGCACAAAGAATCAACCACTGGGATCTCATCTTATTAAAAAGCTTCTGCACTGCAAGAAAAACCATCAACAGAGCTAAGAGACAGCCGACAATGTGGGAAAAAATTTTTACCAGTTGCTCCTCAGAAAAGGACTACTATCTGATATGCAAAGAACTTTTAAAAAAATCAGAAAACCTACATTTAAAGACTCAATTCAAAAATGGGCATCTGCAATGAAAAAACATTTCTCAGACAAAGAAATAAGAGCAGCAAATAAACATACGAAAAAGTGTTCAACATCACTGATCATTCAAGAGATGCAGATGAAAACAACACTGAGATTCCACCTCACTCCAGAAAGAATGGCTGCTATCAAGAAATCAACCAAAAAATCAGCCAGAGCGAAGGGCAGCGGCAGCGGCAGGAACGCCGCAGCGGCAGCGCCGGGAGCAATGACCCGGGGGGAGCGCGGGATAACGCTGGCTGCGGCGAGCCGGTGAAAGCATGAGAGGTACTCAATTTGACAAGTTGGCATCATGCGTCAGTATAAGCTAGTCATTCTTGGCTCAGGAGGCTTTGGAAAGTCTGCTCTGACTGTACAGTTTGTTCAAGGAATTTTTGTTGAAAAGTATGATCCTACAATAGAAGATTCTTATAGAAAGCAAGTTGAAGTAGATGCACACCAGTGTATGCTTGAAACTTTGGATACTGCAGGAACGGAACAATTTACAGCAGTGAGAGATTTGTACATGAAAAATGGACAAGTTTATTTATTTGCTTTAGTTTATTCCATCACAGCACAGTCCACATTTAATGATTTACAAGATCTGAGAGAACAGATTCTTCAAGTTAAAGACACTGATGATGTTCCAATGATTCTGGTTGGTAATAAATGTGACTTGGAAGATGAAAGAGTCATAGGAAAGGAACAAGGTCAAAATCTAGCAAGACAGTGGAACAACTGTGCATTCTTAGAATCTTCTGCAAAATCAAAAATAAATGTTAATGAGATCTTTTATGACCTAGTGCAGCAAATTAACAGAAAAACTTCAGTGCCTGGGAAGGCCCTCAAAAAGTTATCATGTCAGCTGCTTTAATATACTAAATGCATTGTAGCTCTGAGCCAGGTCTGAAGAACTGTTGCCCAATTCAACAGTGCCAGCATTCCAACTTTGTTAAACCTACCAACATCTTAAATGGACTTTCCTGTGGTGGTACACTTTAAGAGGCAGATGAAAGCTACTATATCAGTTTGCACACTCTAATCACTTTCCAGTATCACAAGAGAGATTTTTACTTATATAATAGCCCTAGAGTATGCAGCTGGTAAAACCAGAGGCTACATCCAGTATTACTGCTAAGAGACATTTCTTCATCCACCAATGTTGTACATGTATGAAAATGGTGTACTGTATACTTTAACACACCTCATACTTTGTATTGGAGAGTACAATAATGTAAATCCTAGAAGCACCACTATTTTAGCATAATAAAAGAAAATCCAAAGAGCTCCTATATAGACTGTTCCAGATAACTTTGCTTCTTTGATACTTGTAGCTTATTGTAATTTTTTTAAAATCAAGGTCATTGTCATTGTATTGTACAAAAAAGCGCTTTGTTAACACAGCTATGTAATTTTTTAATTTTTCAAAAACTTGTGGAGACCGTGATCTTGTCTTTAAACTATGATAGTCCTTTCAGTATAATGTCTTAGATTAAAGACGTTGCCTTTAATATCTGTTGGGAAGGAAATGTCCAGACTTTTCAAATTCCCTTATTATGTTTCCTTTTTTGTTTACATAGGGAACAATGTTTATAGTTGTGTGTACAGTGGGGGTCTACAACAAGAAATGTATATTTTCAAACAATTTTTTAATGATTTAACAATTTTTGTAAATCATTTTCAGGCTTCTGCAGCTGTAGATTCTCACTGTGAATCCCTTGCTTGCTCATGCAAAAGTGTATTTGCAATACCAAATATACAGGTTTAGTATTTTTGCCTGTTAGTGATTGTTTCACATGTGTAACGTTTTGATTGAGATGTTAAATGGTGGACGAGTACTGTGGATGTGAATGTGGGAAGTAATTTTAATCATGTGTAACTGGTCACAAGGCCTAATTTGCAGTAACTATTGCTGTTTTATTTAACAATGCCTTGTTGCTTTGTATGCATTAATGTTTGGGTGTAAAGATTGTGTGTCTACCCAACAGGGAGCCACAGTATTTAAATTGACCAACCTAATGTTACAACTACTTTGAGGTGGCCAAATGTAAACTAAAAGCCTTAATTAAAGTGGTTCAATTTTGTATATAAAAAAAAAGAAATCAACCAACAACAAATGCTGGTGGGGTTGTGGGGAGAAAGGAACCCTTCTCCATTGTTGGTGGAAATGCAGCCTCATGCAACCACTGTGGAAATCAATATGGAGATATCTCAAAAAACTAGGATTAGAGGTCCCGTTTGACCCAGCTATTCCCCTTCTGGGTATCTTCCCAAAAGAATTAAAAGAATCATGCCACAGCGATATATGTGTACCCATGTTCATAGCAACATAGTTTGTAATAGGTAAAACTTGGATACAGCCCAATTCCCCATCAACTGGAGACTGGATAAAGATGTGGTATTTTTATAAAATGGAGTACTACTCAGCCATAAAGAATGAGAAACTAGAGACATTTATAGCTAAATGGATAACACTGAGCCCACACTCTTAAGTGAAATGTGTAAATACTAAATAGTTTCTTTGGTGTGAGAAACTGAATGTGTAAATAAGGGTCAAAATGTATAATATAAAATGTTATATTTGAAGAAAAGTTGTAAAGGGGAAGCAGAATTGGAAGGGATAGGGGAAAGGAAAGAAGGGAAAAGAATAAATATGAGAAAGGGAAAAAATGGAAACAAAGTCTTTGTAAATAGGGAGGGGTGGAGGGGTTGAAGGGAGGGCAGAGGAATGGGAAAAAATAAGAACCAAGATATATCATGTAAAGGTCCAAATTCCCAATGATGAATGTCATTGTATTCCATACCTAAAATATACCAATAAACTTAATGAATAAAACAATACATAAATAAGTCTGGTTATCCTTTATTTCATTCCTATCAATCCACCCAGAATATTTTATTCTTATGACTTTTATTTTTTAAAAAGCAATATATACACTATAAAGTATTTCAAATTGAAAGAGATAGTATTTTCGTTTAAGAATACCAAGAAAACTAAGAGCATCTCATCTCTATAATAATACAAGGTAATACTCTTATTGAAGTGAGTATCCTAATAGCATCGGAAGAGACAGTGTTAAATCTTTTCACATTTGGGGATTTTTCCAAAATTATTTTTATGGATGGGAACAGAAAACAGGGACAGGGCAATGTTTTCTTAGCTATCTAGGTCAGGGGAGTCATCTGGCACTCATTTTCATCACTATGGGAGAACCAGTAAACCCTACTCTAATATTCCAATCCATTCACTAATTGTGATAATCAGAACATCTGGTTAGGGTTTCCCTTTACTAGGGTGTCCCCAAAGGAGTTTATTAGGAATCAAAGTTCCTATTGAGCTGTGCTCACTCTCAGCTTCCCCTACCTCATCTCTGACTCTAGGTAGACACATCATCCTGCCATTGATAGCCCAAGATTGCCCAAGTTGAATAGCATCTGACCTCAGACAGAAAGTGTGCCATTCACTATTCTAAGAAGCAGCTTCAACTTCTCTATCGTTATTTCTGTAGTTCTGTGACTGTTCCCAAACTTTTGGCCTAAACTCTGAATTCTTTTGTCAAGATTCTATCTTAAGTTCTTGCTTCCATGTTGTTCAGCATTGACTGTTGTAGAAGACCTGCGGTCTTCCAATCTCAAGATTTTTTCTCTCTGTTATCTGTCATCTAGATTTGTGTTCTTATTTCTAAGCCTCTGGATGGATTGCTTTCTCTACACCTCTTTGGATTGAACCCAATATTTCACTTTGGACAATCTATATCCAAAATAGAATGAACACTGGAAAATAATTCTGAGGTATATTAATTTGGACTAACACTAAGTAGCATTCCATTTTGGGGGGATTTCTATTCATCTATACCATGGAGAAGTATTATTTTCAAATTCTCTTCCAATTCTACCATTATGTAATTTTATACGTAACTTTATTGTGATAATAATTATGATCCACTGTGTGTCAATGAGTAGCTTCAAATGCATTCCAAGTTTTCTAGTTATGATGACTATTCTCAGTCTGTGAGACCATCCAGTCAATAGACAATGGCAGTAGTTCTCAACCTGGCTACACATAAGAAATATATGGGAAGGAATATATTGTTAGAATATATTGTCTGTGTTCCATTTGGATCAATTATATTTAAACCTTGGGAGCAGGGCACATTTACTTTGTGAAATCTCCAACATGTTATTCTAATGTCCAAATAAGATTGTGAAGCATTACGATAGTCAGCATATGTCAGTTTATTCGATACAAATTTTCTAATGACCATTTCAGGAAGTAAATTAGAGATTTCCCAGATTATCAATAAATGAATGAAAGAATCTATGAAATAAAATGTCTTGCAACAGGCAATTTTACTTTTTAGAAAATATAAACAATGAATTTTGGCTTCAAACTTTATTTGACTCTTACATGTACACTGTTCGATCTGAAAGACAGTAACATATAAATATTTTAAATATGATAGAGATGCTTATGCTTTGAAATTATTCCATTTCCCTTAAAAATCTGGTGGCATTGATGTTTATAAATCAAGAAATCACCACGATTCTGACTGTGGTGCTAGTGTCACAGATGTACAGGAAGCTATGACTAGACATATTACCTGGATTTACTTGATTGATTGGGAATTGATCTCATTACTTTCCCACACTCTTGCTGGCAACAATGAAATTTCACACATGTTCACATACGTATCAAATCATAAGAGCAGAGGACAAAGCCCATGAGTAAGATAAAATGGGTAACAGAAGTAATCACTGTGTATCTCTTCTGCAAAAATCAATAAAACAAATACGTTATTCTTTTTAAGTGTCATATTACAATAATGTCTTCCTGAAGACTGTTGTCTGCATCCAATTTAAAAGGCATCTGCTTGTGTTTGCTTAAAACAAAAGGGTAGTTGACTTAATGAATTATTTACAAGCATGCAATATGACAACAATGTCATTATGAAATCTCTTCTAAAATCTCCTCTGGCTACTCCTGGCAGGGTGTCAATTTGCTTGTTTTTATTGTAGGTGCACCAAATTGTGAAGCTATTCAAATGAAATTCTACCATTATTAATGCACACAAGCTCAGTACGAAAGCCATGGTAACAAGAATGCTGAAAACATTTGGGTGGTATTAACAATGTGTAATGTGGAGTTCAAATAAAAAAAACATTAGATTACTTAAAGCTAAAAGCTTAAGTAAAAGCCTTAGAAATAGACCCAAGGCCTAAAAGAAATAAAGAGAGGACTATAAGAGGGGCTAAAGAGGAACAAGAAAAGTTTCATCTGTGACCTTTCTTCTCTGTCAGTATCTGCTTAGAAAAAGTTCCTTAGGAATGTTTGTATTTCTCTGCCATGTTAATGAAATGGAAGAAACTAAATGAACTGTGGAGTTTATAAAAAGTAAAAATGAAAGGCTTAAGAAGAAAAATTATGGATACAAAGTAGCTTGACATTAAAATCCAGTTATTTTCTTTAGCATCATTCTTCCAATTCCAAATTTGCTAAAACTTCCCATTTTTAAACCAGTATCCAGACAATCTATAAAGGCAGGTGATTGTTGGTCAAAGCATGTCAGAACCGAAGGGAGGACAAACAGAACAAAGCCCCATAGCTATGATAAACAATCCTCAGGTCAGAACCACATGTAACTTGGCTCAGCATATTGTTTCTAACAGCTAATCCATGATACTTGCTGATGGAAAGATTTGATTGAACTGAGATTTCAAATTACAAATTGGTTTTGTAAGATTTTGTAAAGTAAAGCCAATCACTGCTGGTAATTTCTTCTGTATGAATGGACAATGCCAGTCTCAGAATATAAGAAAGGGGCTGTGGAGGAAGAATGCCAGAGGTGTATCTCTGTGTTTATTGGTCCAAAACTGTGGTGATTATCTGTCAACTGTGGTGCCACGTGCTGAGGTAGGTGGCAGAGGCGAAAGAGATCGATATTGTCCCTGTTTTTAGGGTTATAGTTTCCTGGGGAATTTTCATTTGAAAATTTGATGAGTTAGAGACTGTGATGAAGAACTAGTATTTTTATCTTAACATGTTTATTACACTCTGAGAGTCATAATAGTTTAAAGCTGTCGTTTTATATTTTAATCCAAGACACCAAAAGATAAATGTAGTAGCGTTTCTTATTAACTCTGTAAAAGATGAACTCTTCTATGCTAATGACAATGTGAACAAAGTGTGAATAAGTATAATTTATGCTTAATCCTCGAGCTACACACTCTTGTGATTGCATGAATAGACTTTATTATGAAAGGAGTACCTTGGAGGTAAAAGGCCTCTGGTGGATTTGCAGGGACAGCATATAAATTCAAATCATAAAAGCAGCACTAGCCATTTTGAAGAAGGAAG